ATTCTATTTGCCACTTTCAGCTCTTGGTCACCACGCCTTGTAGATGTCTTGTAATCTGATGCTCTTGTTTATTCCACAGCTGAACCTTCCTGTCTTTGCCTCGTGTCTTGTCACAGTTCTCTTGAGGTGATCACCTCTATTCCTCTTATTTCCCTTTAAACTTCACCTTCCACAAATATCATGAATCAAACTTCAAAATGCCAACCACGGTTCTTTTCCATGATACCCTCTAAGGCACGCTCTAGAAAGAGATGAATGGCTAGCATTCAAGAGTACGCTGGACTTAACCAGACTACCATTAAGCTAAACGCTTATGTGCGAATATTTCTTTATTCCAAATCTTGCCTTTTAGTTATTAAGCCTGTGAAGAAGTGGACCTAAACGGGGTGCCTTTCTCGACTCTTTAATTTTTGAGAAGGGCAATGTCATTATTCACGGCAGAATTGAAAAACGTTTCAGAAAGGTTACACCTCAGGAAATAATATTGCGAACAAATGTTGAGACTCTACTTTGAAGTAATGCTTCTCGTTTATGCGTTCTTCATTTTCGAGAAATTCTCTATAACTATTTTGTGATCTCTGCCTTAATGAATGAGCTTACTGAATGTTTTTTCCCAGTCAGTGGTGAACACTAAGATGTCTGGATGTGCATCACGTTGATCCTTCGATGTGTTCTCTTCATTTCAACTTGTTTCATCTTTTTTCCACTTTAAGCTTTTAAAATCTATTTTCAGACAAGCACATTATTATCGTTATCAGCTTCTCAAATCTTATCTTAGATGAATCACTGGAATAATCCTTACCTTTTCTAAATACTTACTTTTTTTCACACTTGTGAATGAATGCTGAATGAATAGTGGATGAGTGAATGAATGGATCTATTGAGTCTATCCAATCTACAAATTATATCTCGAGTTTGTTTATAAATCAGTACTTTTATCTTCTTGAAAAGTAGGTTTTTTGAACTTTCTAATCGATCCTAATATCCACAGCGTCTCAATCGACGGTTGTTTTCAAGCGCTGATTATTAGCTCCACTCTTCGAGAAATTATTCTATCAGTCTAATGCACAGGGCGCCACCACACGTTGTAGAATCTTCTATGGCTGCTGTTACTTCTGCATCCCGCGAACAGCTCATCTTATTGCTCTAAGTGATTTGGTAATTTTCGATATGCATTCACACTACCTCCAAATCCATTATAACTATCTTCCTAAGGCTTCCCTTAACATGAATAGTTGGTCTAAGACAGAGTGCATTAGTTATATTGGGAAGAAAGAGGAGAAACCCCTAAGTTAAGTCTCAAGAAACTTTGTTAAACACTTTGTCAAGAACAGCATTAAGACACTATATAAATAAACGGATGCAACGCCATATCATTGGAAATTCCCAAGTGTATTTTTAAATTTGCTGAAGTATGACGTTATGCTGTGCTGCTCCACAAATCCCCTAGTCGAATCCCAAACATGTTGTGATTGACCTTTCCACCCCTTTTTCTTACGAGAAATCGAGCAAATTCATTCAGTATACCGAATTCTTTTCTGTTTTTCAGTTCTTCAAGCTTATTTTTATCTAGCATCCAAGAGCAGACCTTCAAACCCAGTAATTTACCCGAAATCACGAGGATCCATAACTCCTTTTTTTGGCGAGTATTACTCATTTAATATCAATTTCTTTGATTGGTTGTTGTAAAAAGAATGCCTTTGAAAAACAAGTAAATGAAGTAGTCTTAGAAATTGAGTTTGTTATCGACTCCGAGAAAGTTCGATCAACTGAAAAAAATATAGTCATTTCAACAAAGCCGCGTCAAAGCCACGTTTTAGGGCATTCCAAAGACTATGGCTGTTGCCAAGCTCTATTGCTTGCCAGTACGTAAGTTTTAAAACATGAAAAAATAGTCTTTACAAAATTAATTGTATCACTATATTGCAAGAAGCTTGAAAATTTACTAATATCATAAGCAGAATGTAAGTGCAGCACTTATGTGGCATGAAACTCGAGTTTACATAAGACACACTCAAGGAAAAATCTCATTTTTTGTCGCAAAAAAAAGCTCTAGAAATCCCTTGAGGTTAAATAAAGAAAGCATTTCGCGAGTATTTTTACAGAGTTTGCTGAAACAATCTTTCTTTCATGTACATCCATGGATTTTTACCCGTAATGTGCGTGACGTCATACACTCAAAAAAAAGCATCTCGGAGACTATGTGCATGATATTGTATTATGTAGAGTTTTTTTTTCCCAAAAACTTACTGCTCAAATTTCTTAGCTTTCCATTTTCTGAGGCAGTCTGCTATGGAGATTTATGACCCTACCCAGCACTTATCAATAATGTCAGATTTCTCATTCACCTCAATGATTGATGCAAACGCTAATACATCAAGGACCGATCTGCCTTGTTTCTTCCTCTCTCCTGATACAGACCACCAGCATTAAAATCCGGAATTTCTTTTTCTTTGATGCAGACTTCATCTGCTAAAGAGGTTTTCAATGTTTAGAAGAGTATAATGGGCTGCTGCTAAGTTTTTATTCGTCAAAAGTCAGCAGCAGTTGATGTTAGCGGGACTCTATAACGAGCTCAGTAGGCTGGTTTCCTTCCGGAGGAACAAACCCTCCCGAATTCCAGAGACTCCACAATTCACATCCGCGCGCTTTCCCAATCTCGCATACATGCTAACTAGTCTCGAAATGTACTGTAGTTTGCTCTATTTCCATCTTAAAGTTCCTCTTCCTAAAATCCTTTTTTTTTTGTTTTTAGAACCTTTTTTCCCGAAATTATGTAGCTATAAGAAAGTATCACTCAAAGCCGTGTGTTCGAGGGTTTTGAAAATATCTTTGCAGAGTGATGAATTCCACATCGCCAAGCGGTGCGGCCACTGTAGCAAATATTGCCTACTGTTACGTACTGCCTATTGTGTGTGCCATAGGAGTTATAGGTGAACTATAAAGTTTTAAGAAAATAAAACAAATGTTCTGGAAAACAAAGAAGACTTGGTTACTTAGTAACGACTTTATGCTCCACGTTTCCCAACGAATTAGGAGTAGAGAAAGGGTTACCGTTGTTAGATTTTAATGATCATACACAAGAGGATCGCATTTGAAAGCGCTTCTTTCAAAAGTTGTAGCTGAAATCTTGCTCGAAGATACTAGCAAATTCAAACTATCCTTTTGGTCTAAGAGTAAATGCAAACAACTGAAAATGAACTGAGCTGTGTCTGACCTGCATTCTCTTTGCCAAGCCTTCCCTTCCACTACCTACCAAGAAATCTAGAAAAAAATTTCACTTATTTTGATTTGGGTATACTGTCTAAGCTTACTTTGAACAATCAAGAATGGCAAGATTTCTTTTCTTTTGCTTCCTCAACTTTCCATTTGCAATGTATTGTGGGGCAGTAGAAATTATGATTGATTGCTGCAAAATGGAGATTTTTCTGCAAAATGGCATCAAGTGGAAAAAAATTCAACATTAATCGGATAAGAATGCACAGCGCAACAAATCGGCTTCTGCCTACGGTAGGTAGTATCGGATCTTGCCAGAGTGAATAAATGGATGTGAGCTAAAATGTGCAAAATTGATTATCGTGCATTTTTTTTGACTTATACAATGCACCATAAATTTCATTATTCGATTTCAATTTTCGTTTGTTAAAGAAAAGGTATTTAATCTTAGTCATGAACCATAATTTACGAAAAAATTAAAGACTCTTAAAAATCTATAAGAATGAATTTGACTGATGTGTTCTACGTTTCAGGAAACATTACAAATCTTATTGTGCTGGCCAGCCGTCGTTTACGAGCCGTTTCGTACATGTACTTAAGAGCATTAGCCGTTGCTGATCTCTTATGTATGATATTCGTGCTACTTTTCGTGACAACCGAAATTCTCACGAAAAATGGTGCACCCATCAATCAGTATAAACTCTATCAAATCTACCAGACTCATTTTATGCTCACACTTATTAATTGGGCTCTTGGAGCTGGCGTATACGTGGTTGTGGCATTGTCACTGGAACGTTACATATCCATCGTATTTCCAATGCATTTTCGTGCATGGAACTCTCCACAGAGAGCATCAAAGGCTATTATCATTGCCTATATTATTCCTGCTCTATTATATGTGCCATATGCAATCACTCGATATAAAAGTATTGAGAAATGGGATGAACATGTCAATGCTACCATCTATAAGATAGATGATCACGAAGTCTACAGGACAGTACCATGGCAGGTACGATTGCTTTTCTGTCTATAAGCTGGGATAATGATCGGAGAGAGTTTAGATTATTTAAAAAGGCAGCAAGTATATTTTTCGTTTTTCACCTAAGGATTGAGTCATATTTCATCTTTTTTGCCATGTTGAAATCATTTCCACCTAAATAATAATGTCGCAACTGAAATTTTCATAACAACACATTTAGCAACTTAATTCTCAAAAAGTTGTTTGGAATTAACATTACGTTCATAATTCTAAGCAATTACAGATCTACAAGTGGACGCGAGAAACCATTTTACGGTTCCTTCCCATTTTCATCCTGTCTGTGCTCAATATTCAAATTATGGTTGCATTCCGGAAACGACAGAAGATGTTCCAAAAGCTGACCAAGAGAAAAGAGCAGGGAGCCCATAAGGTAAAATTTAGAAATATTTTTTTAATGC